ATATACGTACATATATCGAACCCCCTATTTTTGTGATGTAAAACAATCTACATAGTCTACATTCTTCTGATGAAGCATTAGCATTTTTAGCTTGAAATAGTCGCATACCTCCAGACCCCATAGTATTAGGATGCTGATTATGCTTCACACAATATGTACTGGCTTTTGATTCCACAAATTAGACCTCCCCCCCTTTTAAACTGTCTGCGTATGGGCCTGATAACTTACCCTTTTGAACTGCTTTAGTTCTTAGTGGCTTAGCATTGTAAGAGGAAGCTGATAATATTTTGTTTGTTGCTAAACTCAAAACTACACTGTGCCCACCATGAGTATCGATAACTGGTTTTTAGCGTTATAAGTTTCACAATTTGCCTCTGATTAACTGGGAGGCACTAAAAAGTTTTAAAAGGAACTTAAAATAGGAGATTGTAACAGAGACCCGCAAAATATATGCGATCAAATCAGGAACTTTATCGTAACAATACTTCTTTAAATACAGGATTTCTAGAATAATACAAAAGAATTATAATCATAGACACCGAAATCTGTAAGTCCATTTGTCTTAGCCCTAACATTAGTTAAGCCTTTATTAAGTACAGCCTAACTTCGAAAAAGAAATCTATTAACACTGTAGCTTGTGTACATTTTTTGGCTTAGTTTGGTTAGGTATAAATTTTGTAAACAAACTTATAATGGTATTCTATGACCTAACGTTAGACCTTTTTAAAATTTTTGATAAGCTTTTAATATGTTGTTGTACAAAATATCTATCAAAGTATATTTACGTCTGTTGAAGCGTGCGCTCATGCGCATTTAGATAGTAAGGTGCGCGGGCATTTTCACGACAGACAAAAATAATTACAATAATAAATTAGATCTTGAAATATATAAATAGTTTTGAACTTCTTTGTTGTAAGATTAGACTTTCTTACTCCTTAAAGTAAAACAGCTCTTCAGATTTTAGTTATATATTTAATGCATGCTTAGTTCTAAAGTATTTGATCCATCAATTTTAACAAACTAACTTTACAGCACCTTCCGTTTCAGACGTTTTCGACTGTATTAAGTCATTGACTTTGAATACTACGTGACAGCCTAACTCTTGACATTTTAACAGTGGTCAGAAAAATTAATACATTATATATATATATATATATATAGATGAAAATATCTAAATTTGTGTTTTAAATCACAAGAGTTTCACAAAATTCAGTCTTGGGTTACATAATGCAGGACACGTTTTGTAAATCCAATAAGGTTTGGTTGTTGTTAAGCGCAAAGCTCTGCTCACCATGGGTATTGAATCTCGATTTTTAGCTTTGTAAACCTGCAGACTTACCGCTGAGCCACTGTTCTAATTTATGATTTTAGTTTTTGCAACAACTTTAAAATATAGTTTTTTAAACCAGATTTCTAGACTTCTCAAATAATAAAACCAGATTTAAGGAAATTATGTTTATTATGTAACAAATACAATGTAGGCATCCAGTTTTCCTGGGTCATTTTTTAAATAATCAGTATTTTTATGAAGCTTTCTAGGATTTTGATTTGAAACGTCTATACTTTTCATACCGTAGAACAAAATTTAACTATATTAAGTACATATCACAATAACAAAAATACTGATTCATTTAAACTTTGCTTTAGTAGTATTGGCTGTTATTCACACATTAGAAGGGCGTTCAAACCCCCAAAAAAGTTGTAAGAAAGTTCATAATAATTTTATACGAATTCAAACCGTATTTTATAGTACATGCGATAGATTTAGAATGTTATTTAAATTAACAATTAATAACGTACTTATCCCCCTCCCGTAAAAACGACAGGTTGATCAAGATTTATGGTATCATAAAAGAAACGGATGTTAACCCAGTATTCCCAAACTCCACCCGAGATACACCGGGAGCACTAGTTAAAAAAAAAACAACAAAGTGGCACATCACTAATTACGTTGTTGAAAATAACACCACAAACGCCGGAAAAGTAGGCAGTCGTAAATAAAGTAGATCTTAATTGGATTTTCACTTGGGTCATCACACTGAAATCATGAATCTAACGTGTTTTTTTTTGCACCATTTATGAAAAATTTTAAACGGGCTATAGGAAACGGAACTTTCTACATCACACCTGCAGCTCACTCACTTGTAACACACCTTCTGGGAGAACACAGGTTTAGGCCTTACAGCTCCCTCCTCCACCACCTATTTTATGTAATGTCGATTTTCATTGAAGATGATTTTCCACAGTATATGGAGATCAATGTTGCCTTCTTCCTTTTTAGATGTTTCCTTTCCAAAATATATCAACAGTGTGCGTGACAGCTTTCGAGAACTTGGTTTGTAAAACCCAACGTCGCAGAAGTCCGTGGAAGATGGCTGTAAACAGTATAATATGAATATCCATTTGTACTTAAATAGTGGAATGATTCACTTGTCTGTTACTGGCACAAAGCTACACAGCTGGTTACCTGTGGTGTGCCCACGATTTTAGCGTTATAAGCCCCCAGTCTTACCGCTGATGCACATGTGGGTGGGTGAGCTATTGAAATGGAATTGACATGTTAGCTTTAACGTATGGTTGGATATTTTGTCCTGATGAAACCATACCATAGTGCCATTTAATCCATACAAAGTTAGTATTTCTTAGCAGTATACAGTGTCGGCACCTTAGTCTGATAGTATGTACAGTGCACTTTGGAAGTTTTAAAAATTCTTCGAATGTTTAACTTATCATTATAGCTGCAAACTGCATCCACCGTTACAAAAGTTTTCATAAAATGTTCCGTACGATGTTTTAGAAATGTTGCATCAATGGCAAGATAATAATAAATTGCTTGGAACCGAAAATCTTGTATTATAACCTTTCCAGAAGTGGTAAATTTTAGGCGCCACCTATATATTAACCAATGTAGTCACTAACACTGCTAGGCCACAACTATGTTCAGAGGCAGGATGAATGGACATGCATATTGTTACCACAGATCGTAAACATTTGTCTCTGTTAAACACGGTTACGTGGTTTTTCTTGTTATTAACCAACTATAGCTGATACTGCTTAATATGACAGTCTTTAATAGGTATTTTTTATATGAAAAGAGTAATTTAATGATATAGCAAATTAATTAAAAAACAAAAACAAAACATCTAAGACTTAAAAGATAGTGATGTAGCTTTTTTGTTATTTAGATTTTAATATTTATCAAAAAGTTCAGAGGCACGAAGTCTAATTAAAGTATACAACAAAAAATCAAACAGAAAATTAATTGTTTTGTATTTTTTTCACAAAGCTACAGAAGGGCTACCTGACTAGCTGCTTCTAATTTTGAACTCATAAGACTATATAGCGTAAAGGCATCTATTCAATATCACCCAGCACCAACTCTGTCTAAACAAATAGTGGGATCTGACCACCTTCCTTATAATACAGACATGGCCCCAAAAAGTGGATCATGATTTTGTGGCCATCAGATTCACTGTCCAACAAGCAAACCACTAGGCCATGCCTGGCCCAAAAATAAAGCAAAATGCTGTGGGAAAATAGATTAAATTGGTTTACCTTTTTATATTTTCAAATGTTTTTCTTTTAAACTTAATATATTCATTAAATATTTAATAGTTGTCTTTTCTAGAGTAACAGAAGTGTTGTCTTGTTTACACCCTTTAAGATAGTAATGAAAAATACTGATAAATGTTGTACTTATAGGTTTCTGTTTATTTAAATAGATAAGAAAAAAAATTTAAAAAGACACACCAGGAGAATGTGTTGTTAAGGCAACTGAAACCTATTTTCTACTGATCGCACTTTTTTTGTATGACATAAATGTTATTTTTTCTACTGCATAACGAGTAATGATGATTTTCTGCTTAAAGACGTCAATGCCAAAGATTAAGTATAATGAGAAGACCTCCTATCCATATCTGAATGGACTCGACATGGCCAGGTGGTTAGGGGTTCGACTCGCAATCTGCGGGTTCAAATTCCCGCCCTTTCAGCTGTGGGGGTGTTATAATGTGACGGTCAATCCCACTATTCATTGATAAAAGAGTCGCCCAAGAGTTGGGGGGTGGGTGGTGATGACTAGCTGCCTTCCCTCTAGGCTTACACTGCTAAATTAGGGATAGCTAGTGCAGATAGCCCTTGTGTAGCTTTGCGCGAAATTCGAAACAAACAAACAAACCGTATCTGAATGTGTAAAATTTTGTTTTGCCATTTAACCAAAAGCTTCAAAAATCTGTGTTATACTTCTACAAAACAATGCCAATCATTGTACATTAGCATTTCTTCCCTGTGGTTTCTTGTGCCTGTCTCCAAAGATTCATTATCTTACCATCAATTATGATAGTAGAGGGTACAATACCTATCAAACAATTGTATAATTATTTTGCATAACATTTGCAAGTTCAGATTCATTGTTGTGAAAAAGCCGTAATGATGAAAATGAATTGTAAGTCTTTTTCGTCAAATAAATGAGGCAAACACAAGTGGAAAAAAATTACCTGAAAGAGTCCTTCAAATGTATGTAAAGCAATTGTTGTGTTTGATTATAACAATATGTTAATGACAACAAATTCAATGTGATGGGTTTTTGTTTCTTTGTCAAAGAAGCTTGGAAGGTTTAACATACTCAGTTTACCTTACATTAAAAGCAATGAAAATGTTTGCACAAAACTCAAGTTAATCAGGATTGACAAGTGTTATGTATTACAATTTCGAATGGTCTGAAACCGAGCTAAATGAAAATTTCGTAGTTAAATAAATGCCGATGTATCTTCAATTTATGATATTTGTCAACAAGATTGATACACACAGTTTTCTTTGTTTTATATAAATGCTTCAATACACAAACAATAATACAATTTACATGTATTACATGTATTGCTGATTCGTACACTCGAGAATCTTCTACAACTTTAGAGAATAGGCGGGAGTTTCGCAATACATATTTAACAGTATAAGTTATGTACATTTCTTAATACAAATTAAATTTAAACAAACATCGATATTAAAATAAATGTATAATAATAAATCCGTCACACAGGTTATCTATACATTATCTACATAACAAACTAGATAAGCATAATATTTAGAACCAAAATGTTATTCATGAAACCAAAGAAAACAATTGAAACCTAGAAGTGAGCTATAGGTCATTTCATATATTTGGCACTTCTTAATTTTAATGTTTTAAGTATTGTTGTACGTTTTTATGGGATAAGTTATTTTTCTCTTTTAGATTCAAAGCAGATATCAGGTGTTCAAAAATAATTATACAGTATACAATTTAAGTCATCTTTAAACACCCTTTTTACTGCAATATTAATAATAGAATTAAATTGATGTTACTACAAGTGAATTTCATTTTTCTATTAAAAAAATTTTGGAAATAGACATTCCCTCAAAGATAAGAACATGTCAACCTATTGTATTATCAGTTTTTACAGAATAAACCTACATGTCAAATATTAACAATAATTACAACAGAAAAATGAAATGAAGCTCATGCAAGAAGCTACCGAACTATGTTTATTTCATTCATCAGTTTTGTAATATCTACAAGATCTTCTTCATTTTTTTCCTTTTTTAGAGTTTTCATGAGTTTGCAGAGTTTTTGTTTAACAGTATTGTCTCTTATTTTGAAATCTCTGGAAAGGAACACATAAATTATTTCATTCACTTCATCTGGAATTTTCTTGCTATAGACAGACTGGAACACCGAATTCAGCACAGAAAGGACCTTCTTCTTGAAATATTCATTGCGGCACACTAAGTTGAACATGGCTAAACCTGAAACCATAAAATACAAAGGAAACACGTAATGCAAAAAAGAATCAAATAATGTGAAAATCCTAACCTTGCAATTAATGCACAAAGTCTTAAGAATATACATCAATAAAAACACAGGCTTTAAGATATACAAAAATGTGTTTATGGTCCAAGCCAAAAAAAAAATTTTTTAAATGCATTACAAAGTGTATATCATTTGTAATAATAATAATTTCAACTCACCTATCAGAAGCATACATTAGTACATTCACTGTACTTCTTTGATAGAACTCTATGCTTAAGGTCAATAACGTTTTTAAAACACTTGTAAACATTACTTTAGGACATTTATACCATTTATTTCTGTTAATGGCCTGTTCCTTTGAAAAATTAACCCTACTTTACACATTGTAACTTACAGGTAACAAATCTACCTTTGTTACTTAATACACATACAGATGCTTCATTTCTGTAGTTGAATGCTCTTACTTCCAGGTAATAGTCAAAATAAATCATGGAAATATTTTTATTGATTCCTTAATTGAAGAGTGTTACTTCTAGGTAATGCAACCATTTATAACTGACCAAACTATATTTCACAAAAACATGTTTTGTGAATTATAGATCTATTTAAGTAAGAAAAATTTTTTTCCACTGTATTTTCATAATTCATGTAATAGAGGGTTAACCCTTAGGTACAACAAATAAACTCACCAAATATTCTTAAAATCATAATATTGTATGTAATTAAAACATATTAATAAACTTTTTAGCTTTCTTCTCATTAAAAGATAAAAAAAAAACCTGCAAAATACCTATACATTAAATTTTCTTTAATTGCACTTTCATAATGATGTTCACAAATGCAAATTTTTTATGAGTGAGTAAATGAGCACATACATTTATATCCAAACTCACAAACAGTTAAAGGTCACTTTTGAAGCTTGAATTACCACAGGAAGGAGAAATTAAAAAGATTCAATGACACAGAAGATTGAAATTAGCTCTACTGTTTTGTCATTTTTTGTTTTTATTTGTGGAACATATTTTATACTGTTGGTATTGAAGTTTCATGAAGTGATGCATTTGAAATTGCACTCTTCAACTGAACTGCATTTCACAAAATAAATAGAAGTTCCAAATTTCTCGTATTACACACTTTACTACAAAAGGTATGCACACACATACGGTTTGTGCAAAAATATAAAAACATTTGCCCCAAAACACGAAATAATGCATCAGAGCTTATTGAGCCTTTAGGCCAGCACTAATTAGGTATAAGAAAATGTGGTTCACCCTATAATGGAATCATTTACACCCCTGAAAAATTGGAACCAATCATTATGGGTTTTTGTCTCTTTGAGCTAAATCCACATAAACATATGTCCATTAAACAGAGAGAGAAACCAAAGCAGAGGTGAATGGTGACTTTTCTGACCAAATTGACCTTTCCCCTACCTGTTCCTGAGGTACATTGCTCCATTGAATACATAAATCTAGTTTACTATTGACCGACTATTCTAGACATTGTCCTTCAAATAGAATATTACCACTCAACTGCAATGACAACATTATTTGTAGTTGTAATAAAATAAAAAAACTAATTGGTTTTATTTAGTTCAGGACAAAGCTCATAACCTTTGTTTCTCTTTAGATTACTCTCTCTTAGTTAACAATATTTTTTTTTTTTTGCTTTCTTGCCCATAAAATTTTAGTGCTTATAGACAGCTAAATAGATTTCAAGAAGCAATGAAAGTTTAAAATATTTTTTATATTATAGTTTCCTAATTGAACATTTCCCACATACCTATATTTATATATATATATAAAAACTCACCTGAAGGGCCTACAATGGTAGATATCTTTTGAAGAATATCTGGTGTAACAAAACTAGCAGGTGGGCAATTCAACCCCTCACTAGTATCTTTACTGTCAACATCTAGGAGAATGGCATCATAGTGTTTTCCTGTATTCAAAATCATGTAGTCTGTGAATTTATGAAACTTCCACCATCAATAAACACGTTGTAGTTTTATAACAAAACTGTATAACAAATGGTTTATAATTTGTATTTTTTAAAACCTTGTAACTGTTATAATGAAAATTATTCCTGAACAAAAAATCTGTTTAATAGACGTAACATAGCAATGTTCTATTTTAAGATACTATGAATCTTGAATTAAAGACTTACCCTATTTTACATATCAATATTGTTGCATAGTCTTATTACACTTGAGATATCTGCAGGATCTTGGTTTTAAAGTTCAAAGCAAATTGACATAAGAATAACGTATAATTAAGGGAAAGTTATCTGTGATAAATGCCGGGCTTTCCCAGTCACAGATATTTTGATAGGTTCATCTTTATAATACATACAGATTTGTATTTGTATTTTGTTTATTAATTAGACAAGCTAAAAGTAGCATACTTTTATTTCTATTTCATGATCATTGACTTTGATCTCTGCATGTGATACGGCATACATCACTATTCTCATTTTACAATAAAATTTGGAAAACTGTAATCTCCTTATAATTATGAAGAAATTTTTTACTAAAGTTTTGTTGCATCACTGATAATAGTGTTAGTTAATAACTCCATCCAATCCCATGGACTTCATTAATAATTTATTTAGATCTAGCTTCAGAAAAGTCATTCAGTTGAACTCTGTGTTCAACTGATACAATGTATAAAGAAACAAGTATGTATGTTTAAACCCCACTATTCTAAGAGATAATTTTTTATATTAATATATTGAAAAGTAACTTGTTCTTTTTGTTCACCTGAACAATATGCACACAATGAGTCAACAGATAGGTCAAAGACATCCTCAGTTTTGAATTGTCGACCAGAGGAAGGTAAAGCAGTTGGCAGCACCCATTTCCCAAAGTGGCTACACTTAAACAAATAGCAAAATTGACCCTTTACCTTATAAAACATCCAAAAGATAATAGTAATACATTTTGAATCTGAAACCCTCAAGATTTCTAGGCTGATACATTAACCACCTGGCTATGCTTGGGCCAAAAGAGTTAATTATAGACAAAAACAATCTAATCAGCTAGAATGTTTGTTGCGAGTTCTTTAAGGTCTGCATATTTTGATGCCTTATGATGCTTTTGAGATACATATTTATATTCTGGTATTACTATAAATTTTCTGATATAAAAACTAGAAAAAGTTGGAAATTTCTTTCAGATCCATGAAATTATAAATGATAAAAGTGATAATCATAAGTTTCAGTTTATTGAATTAGTTTGAGTACTTCAGTTTTGGTTGCTAGTCTGTACTTTCAGCAAAGTTCCCCAATTTATTTTCTATCACAACCAAAACAGTTCTTATTCTAGTCTCTTCTGTTTGATTTTGATGGCCAGAACAATTCCAACAATAAACCAACAACAATACAACATGAACATAGTTTCTTCCACATGTATTATACATTGTTGGTAAGGCTACTTTATCACATAAATAAACTGATTTGTTCTAGATCATTAACCTACCTTTACATGGCATTCAAATATTTATGTTCACAACTTAATTTTTGAAAAATTCCTGTTTAAAAATGCTAGCCTTATCCGAAGAATACCACAACCTATTTATTACCTGTAGTAGCTTTTTTTTACTTTAAACAAATAAGATTATAACAACTTATCCTTTTTTTGCTTGTATGTAAATTTACATTATTTAGTCAGGGTTTTGCTTAATATTCATCCTTAATGACTAACAGAAGTGGACCTGTTGCTACAACTCCCATGGATACAGGTTGTCATGTTACTAATCATTACCAACCTAGTGCATTTAAAGGGAGCAAATAATTTTTAATTTGGTAATCAATATTTTTTCACTAAAACTATAGTTTTCTGCCAAAAGTTAAATTGAGAAATATTAGAAAATGATGATGACATATTCAATGTCAATAACACAACAGTTGAAAATGTAGATTTTTAGAAGTAATGCATCACCTGGTTGTATTGTTGTTTTTACAGTGATTTTATTAGCATTAGGAGCTTCTGATTTTCATCTAATCAGAAAATACCCCCCAATACAAAAAAAAACAATGGTATATATATATCTAATAAACACCAGAAAACCTGGAAAAATTTATACAATTTGTATTAACTTCACCCCTTTTGCAGTGCAGTTAGTTACATAATGTCCCTCCTTACTTACTTGTATGTTGAATACTTTAAATGCACCAAAGATAAAAGCCCTAAAGATAACAATTTTAGGGCTATAGACATAAAAGTTGAATATAATGAAAAATAAACAGAGAAAAATTAAATTAATAAACATCAGAAAGCACAATCTCTAGATATTCGATATACCACTATGAATGCACTTAATGTTCAGGTGTTAGGCAGTAGGCATTGAAAAACAAATTTTATCTAATGACATCTTGAGCGACTGCTCTTTGTCAGGCTTATAATAATAGGATAATACCACTTAAAACACAATAAAATTCTAGTACAGATTTTGGAATGGATAAGCCACTTTTATGTTCTTAAACAAAATGTTTCTTCTTTTATGGCATTCGTCTACAATTATTGTGCAGATTTCAGTTTTTTTGAAAATATTATCATTTCCACTGTAATACCAAACTTAAGAAGTTTTTCATATAACTACTAAACTATAAGTTAAGCTTGTGCATTGTTGACTGTTTAGAAACAATGAAAATTTTTTCATTTATTAGTTACCTGTTTCAAAGGTACTGTATACACTTTTTCAGATGTGTTCTTCTAACAAGCTTAAAATTTGTATTAAAAATCATGACAACTGTGGATGTTTTTCTTTTAATTATTCCATACAATTTAGTATTGTTTTAAATGTTCATAAGCATGTTAATGAAAATGTTCAAGCTTAAAATTTTGTATTTATAAACTATATTTTAACAGGGTACTTCACACTTTAAGTTTCATTTTACATTCATACATCCACATGTAAATAACATTAAAACAAGATTACCTTGGTTGGCTACAAAGCATTTGAGTAATGGCATGGATGTAGATACAACACTTAAGGCTCCAACATTGTCATAAACACTCTCATAAACATGTAAAGCAATACTAAGTTGTGTGGAATAATTTTAAGATGGTACTTCAGCCTGTGTCCTTTTTTACATTAAACCAAGTGAATCAGTAATAATGACTTATTTTATTCATTAGGCAAATGCATATTTAGCCAAAGTATATTTTTCAAGTAGCTTAAATTTAAAGTCAAACAACATAAAAATTTAAACATCAATTTATTTTGTAAAACACAAACGTTTAATAATTGCAAACTTTTAGGGAATGAATAAGAAGAAAAATAACAAATTTGTTTATCTGTTTATGCCAAAGTTATTATGACTATCTGTCACTGTACCTCTCAGCTATTGACCAACTAATAGTGGGATTTACCATTACATTATAATGGCTCCACAACTCAAAGGATGAGCATGTTTGGTAATGAGGTTCAATCTTGTTGCTTTTGGAGATAAGAATCCAGGGCTTTTTTTTTAAAGAGGATGCTTGAAACATTTTTTACATTGCATTAAATAACAAACACTTGTAACATGAACCAGTAGGTCTTGTTATACCGGTCTTAGAAATGCAATGCTGTTATTTTTTGTTTTATTTAAAATTTCTTGTGTATATAATGCAGAACTCTGCATAAATGTAACCACCAGCCACTCATCACTAAAATGCCATTTGCCTGGCACTTTTGAATTAATTTAAAGAAGTAAATATACAGCTGACGAGGCAGTGAGGCAATTCAAAAGCACAATCAGTGCACAAGAGTGAGTTAGGTCATATATATGATATACTTGTGGGGATAGGCCCTTAAAAATGGAGAATACAATAGGTAAGTAAAAAAAAAAGTACCTAATTAAAAAAAAAATTCCATGGATTTCCACAATCCTACAATAAAATACCAATTTTTCCAGGATATTTCAGGACAACATTTTGTCAAAGTAGTTTTCTAGGAGTTTCCAGGTTTTTTAAGCATCCGTGCAAACTCTGTATAAACTTTGTACAAATTTTACACAGTGTCAAATATCTTCATTTCCAGAAACCAAAAAAATTATGATAAAACTTTGCAGAAATTTTCTATTCATATATTTCATACATTGCCTGGTATAATTTCCAGAAGTGAACTGAATCAACTAATGATGATAACTTTGTTGGGAGCTTTTTCTACCAGATAAAAGAGGCAATTGTGACAAATAATAAAACAAGACAAAGAAAATGGAAAGATTTTGTTATTTTCTTAAAATTGTTCTGCTTGGCAACAATGTCATAGTTCCCTTATCTTTAATAAAAAAATCCCTAGTATACCTTCTTCTGCTTTTCTATTAATGATGTCAATTCCATCAGCAACCTCAACAACAAGCCTGTTGTCAATTTTTAGACTGAACCATTCTTTAGCAACAGACACTACAGCTGGATCTAGCTCCACTGAGTCAATGGACACCTGAAAAGGAAAAACAATTCTACATATTGATAAATGTTAAGCATATGGATAAGAAGTATTTTGAGTACTGAAAATGTAGCAAATACACCAGTGTGCTTTAATTTTTAATCAAAATTTCCACTTCTCCAACAGAAGAACATTTTATTTATTTATTAGAGCAAATGTCCATGTGTAAATTTAAGTTATTTAGTTTGTTCTATTTTATTAGAGCCTATGTCCATATTTAGATTTAAGTTATTTTAATTTGTTCTGTTTCATTAGAGCCTATGCCCATATTTAGACTTAAGTCATTTTATTATTCTATTTCATTAGAGCCTATGTCCATATTTAAATTTGTTATTTTAATTTGTTCTATTTCATTAGCGCCTATGTCCATGTGTAGATTTAAGTTATTTTAGTTTGTTCTATTGTACTAGAGCCTATGTTCATGTGTAGATTTAAGTTATTTTAGTTTGTTCTATTTTATTAGAGCCTATGTCCATTGTAGATTTAAGTTATTTTAGTTCGTTCTATTTTATTAGAGCCTATGTCCATGTGTAGATTTAAGTTATTTTAAGTTGTTCTATTGTATTAGAGCCTATGTCCATGTGTAGATTTAAGCTATTTTAGTTTGTTCTATTTTATTAGAGCCTATGTTCATATGTAAATTTAAGTTATTTTAGTTTGTTCTGTTTTATTGGAGTCTATGTCCATATGTAGATTTAAGTTATTTTAGTTTGTTCTATTTTATTAGAGCCTATGTCCATGTGTAGATTTAAGTTATTTTAGTTTGCTCTATTTTATTAGAGCCTATGTCCATATGTAGATTTAAGTTATTTTAGTTTGTTCTATTTCATATCTCAGTGTTGTTGAAAAACTAACAAAAGCAAAGATGACAGACTTGGCATCATATATATTTATAATCTACATTTTACTGACTTTCTAAACAACTGATAGAAATTCTACTCAATTTTAATAAATGTTACTTAGTTCATTTTTCCAAAAAGTTGTTTTGTAACAGATTGAATAAATGTATTTGTTCACACAAAACAGTTAAAATATGTCCATAGGAGAATACTGATAAAAATTAGGTATTTACCCTCTTTAGGTTTTTATACATCTTTAACAGTAAATGCTTTTCCAACTCTCCCAGATATTAAAAGTCAACAATTCAAATTCAAACAAGGGTTTCTATGACATGAGAATATCAATAATTTGAAATAGGAAGGATGGAAATACAAGTTAAGTATCAGAAAGGACCCTAACAAGATAATCATTAAAACTGATCAAAAATAACAAAGATGCAAAACACTTTCAAAGAAAAGGAAGGTATCTGTATGAAGAATTTACTTAACGAAAGGAGATGCAGGGCCATATCACAATTGATGGCACTCTATGAAAGATGGAAATTTTGCACTCCTCCTCAAAAAAATCTAATCTATCCTTCCCTTTAAAGACCCTATAGGTCTGTGCTCTGTGCAGGTGCACTACTTGCACTATGGTTGGGTACAGCACTGAGAACACAAAAGAATTCTGTGCAGTAACACGTGTTAATAACTGGTCATTCAACATCATGATTAAGACAGTTTCTGCAACACCCTCAGGTCACCAGTAACTATTTAGTAAGATATCAGGAAGAACTTGTGTATGTAGCTCAATTTTGAGGGTTGCTATGAAACTGACTGTATGAAGTATTATATTATACAACAAACTACTTAACCCTTCCATTACGGGATTTCGCCCAGCTCGTAACCATGAAAGCATCAATGAGAATAATTATACTATGATTTTTGATAATGTATAGACACCTTTACAAAATTTTGCAGGTTATTGGTAAACATTACAAGGTTTTCGTACACAAATATCAGGTTTTTAAATTAAGTATTAAGATTTTCTTGTAAACCTTTTTCTTTCATAATGCCCACTATCCAACATGCAAAGCAATTTTTATATTAAGATTAAAAATACTTTAATGCATGAG